ATATATATGTATATATATATATATATATATATGTATGTATGTACATGGGAAAATACCCGAACAAAGCTGAATGCCATACATGTAAGTACCCGCGAAAACTTAAGAAAACAAATACATACATACATACATACATACATACATATATATATATATATAAATATATATATATATATATATTTCAAGAACATCTCTTTGGTGAACAGCGTGGTTCCAGGTTTTTACATTTCCATACACACATGACCTTAGTTACATATTCATCTTTCACATTCAGTTTCATATCACATCATTACATAATTTCTATAAATTTTCTCAAATTTTCTATGTTATGAAATATATTTAGTATCTAATAACTGGTGCTACAAATAGCAGTCCTAGTGCCAAATATGTTCTCGAAGATCCAAATCATTCCAAAACAAAGAAATTGTCAGAGAACTAATTGTATTTCATTTTTGCACAGTCCAAAGGAAACAATTAAAGTTTGTTCTAAGCAGATAAGAGAAAGCAGTGTGGTCAAAGGTTAATGACCTAACTTATCATTTAGGAGGCCACTTTCATTACCATATATGGATTCTAATGCAAGTGATAACACTGATTATTTAGAATGTCAAAGTACCAACACGGCAGAGATATCCTCACAAGGAGACATTTACTATACTTTTTACTGACTTTTTTCTGCTTGCTTCTAGCCCATATCACTGAATTAACTAATACTGCATTATTGAACACAAGTTCAGAAGCCCTCCCGTGCTTGATCTTTGTCTTCCTAAGTTTCTTGCCAGAAACATTTGACTGACATGTAACATTATTAGGAAAAAAGCTGGGACTTAAGATGTGCTTCTTATGTACTGGACCTTTGCAGCTTGGGAGCAGGGTGCTGAATAGATTTCCTGTCCTTTTGCAGACCTGTATAATTACTAAGGTCAGGTGAGTTCTGATGAATGGCCATGTAGTTTCGAAGCTATATAAATCTGGAGTTCCTCTCCTCACTTTTAAATATAGATTTTATTTTTAAAAATTCAAAAAATGTAATTAATACAAACTAATAAAAAGCAAAAGAAGCAAAAAAGTAAGAAAAGAGAAAAAGTATAAAAAGAGAAAATGAAAGAAATAGTAAAAAGACGCTTCTGATTTCTTCTGCAGCAAAAATATAATTATATTTATAGTGTTAACACTTATTTTATGATTGAAAAGAAGTATTTTTCCTATTAACAATTTTTTTCTAATCAAACCCACAAATCATCAGTGTATTTTTTATTGTTTCATGTAAAAAAGTCTATAAGGGATTTCTCATAAAACATGAACATAGTTTTTTCTCTAATCAAAGAGGTTAGCTTATCCATCTTTGCAAGTTCCATCTCTTTACCAGTTATTCTTCCATTATAGGTAGTGTTAAGCCTTTCTGCTTTAAACCATATAATATCATGTATAAAAACAAAGCCCTGTGACTTTTTTCTGTTGCTTGTCCATTAGTCTCAAAAGAAAGCTTTCTGATTTTAATTGTACATTAACCTTTAAAATCTTCTGGATTAATATATGCATTTGTATCCATTTTTAAAGCTTTTTTTCAATGCTCACTAAACTTGATAAAATCTCCCTTCATATGATGTCTCTCACCCTTCATTCTATTCTCTAGATGCTCTCATTCTTGAATATTGAGTCTTCCCCCACTATGTTTTTAACTATCTATTGAACTAATTCTTCATTCAAGACTTGCTTGAGTGAATATTATGCATGAAAGTTTTCATATTCCATTTCTTTCTTCCTTTTTAATCAGTATATTTTATATTGTTTTAAGTTGCTCATTTTGCCATTGTATTTTAATAGTATTTATTTTAACATTCACATTTCAACAAGTATTATTATATTTTGCATTTAATGTAATTGATCATACTGAGAGATTCTGTCCAAAAGCTCACAGTGACATCATCACACAATATAAATTTTACAGAAAAATGAAAGATATATAGTTGGGTGGGGCGATATATTTTCCTTTAAATATATAAATTAATAGTTACAGGAATCTTAAAAGAAGGCACTACCTAATTGCCTTATTTTTTGATACAAATATATACAACTATATAATATTATTTTTATTGAAATTTTATATATATTTGTGTGTGTGTGGTATATAAAAATTACAGGACAATGCAAATAAAATAAAAAATAAAAAATTCATACTGAAAACCTGAACGAAGAACAAATTTGCCCTAAAAGCTGTTCTGAGTTCTTCAGAGTGAGAGAGAAAAATGTGCTCAAGAATTTCAGAGAGGCAGAAAATTATTAACTGGGTTGTTAATATAAAACAGGATCCTTTGTTACATTCCCATGTAATAAAGGAAGGATACATGTTCAAATTCTAGCTTCAATACATAAAACCAAATTCAAAGCTATCCTACAAAATAGGCCTCAATTTTTTTTTATATTCAACAGCATTTGGAATCACAATGTCATATCAAAAATATTTGCAACAATATCTTGTCAAATTATAGAAATAGATACATATTTAATACCTTTGGAAAACAATAGGGGGATTTTGAGTTCCTGGGCTGTATTAGTATTAGATTACTACATGAATTTTTTATTCTCCTCCACTGCTATCTATTATAATGAACAAGAAAGATCCTAAAGTTCTACATAAAAAGTAAAACTAATATGATGTTTTATAGCCTAGGGTTGTCCCAAATCTTTCATATACCACTGATAACCTCCGATCTTTAAAGTAAGGCAAGAAGGAATAAATTGGAACTTATTGATGTATGCATATTTTATGATTCACTGTGAATGAAGAGACAGATGCCATTTTCAGCAGCAATTCTAAAGACTTTTATAAAAAAAAAAAACTTCTCAATTTCTGAGAGTTATGTATTTCTGAGTTATGCTTATTTAGAACTGATTGTTCAGTTTGTTTCAAGGAAGTGCTAAAATATAGCCTTTATTTCAATCCTAAACAATTTCCTTCATAAATATGTTTACTGTCAGAAATATAATTCATTTTCATACTCTCTACCTTTGAAAAGGGAAAAATGTTCCATAATTTTCCTATTTAGCCTGTTTAAAACTTACACAATTGCACTTTGCACCTGTATAAGACAAGAATAAGGGTACTGTAAATTGCTCCCTTATGAGGTTGAGATTCTTGAAAACATACCTTGTGCTGGAGGAAATAGTTATGAATGCCAGGCTTCTTTTGTATTTAATCAAAGGTTCACTTATGTTTAAGGGTCTATTTACACAGAAGTTAAGGGTGTGAGAGTTAAGAACTCTAAAAACTCACGGAAGTAGCATGACAAAGCCTATAAAACGATTAAAGCTGTCTAAAAACAAACCGTCCATTTGATGAACAGCTTGTCTTAAAAGTAAAATGAAATAAAAAAAATCAGTGCTAGCCCCCCTACCGCCACTGAAGGAAAAGTACCTGTTATACATCAAGGATCCGGACTCACCTGCCTGCCGCAGCTACTTCGTAGCTGAATTTTGTCGCAGATCCACTTTCTGAACTAAGTCTTGGAAAGTACTACCGTATACAGGAGAACACCTGCAGGCAGTCGCCGGTCCCACCCTCGTATCGCTGTTGACTGACAGCTATAGAAATCAGTCTCCTCTTCTTCCCGGCAGTAGGAGGCGGGTTTATAGCACAAACATCGCCGTTACAAAGGACTCTCGGGAGAGCTGCCAGGGATCAAATTCCAGCCGCAATTATCCTCCTGAAAACAAACTAATTAAATTGCATGGGTGTTCTGAGCTGGTGACGGGTCTGATGAGTTTCTAACGGGTGGTTTTTACCTGGTTCATTTATTGCGCAAAAAGTAATGTGATTTTAAAAGTTTTTAAAGATCGAGGCTCACTGTCTTAGAACACCTTTCTCCGGTTCGATGAACCCAAGGTATTGGAGTATTACAATTCCTACAATCTCCAACTGGCATAGACAGTTGCTGTCGTGGCTGGGGATTTGGAAACTGCGATCTTTCAGCCTAATTGAATAGACCTTAAGGGAATGTAGCTGGAATGTGAGCTTACTACAATAATTCCTTGTATACAAATTCACTATGGTTCAGTTAAAAAAAAAAAAGTTGCATTCACATTTCACTACTCCTTATAGTTTCTCTTTGGTTTGGTTACTGAATGAATTCAACCATTATGATTTGTAAATTTGGTATTGTAACTTTATGTCCAAAATTGTGATTCACTCATTTACACCATGAATAAACAAATGAGCATGATGTGAATTAAGCCCATAAAATTTACTGATATTTAGATAATTTTCATTGGAATCTAATCATCTTCTTAATCATACTAAGTCCTTGGATGGGAATTTCTGGAAGCTGGTTTCAAATTCTAGTTTGCAATAGTTAGAAATGGTAGTTCTTGAAGCAGTGAGAATAATGATCAATAACGCTCTGTGCTTGACTAAAACACTAATGTTGAACTAAGATAAAGTAGCAGTACAAGCATAAAAACACTGCGTGGCTCAATGTGTTGTGGCAACAGCAGTTCAGATGGTCAATTCCATCCCACTTCACCACGAAAGGCTTTGTAATCTCAGATTTTGATGAGTTCTAGAGACAACAATAATTGATTAAATTTATGTCACACCCAACTACAACTGTCTGTGAGATGGAAGTTCAGCCATAAGGGTCTCTAGTGATGGTGGTAAATGCTTGTTCTTGGTTCTGTATTATCCACTATTAAAGAAGTCTGCATTCACTTGCAGTCATGGCAGGAGGTAAAGCAATTTGCTCCAACTGAATGCTTTCCAAATATGTTTGACTACAATGCCCATAATCCCTTTCATTCACAATCCACCTTTGATCCTGCAACTGCTAAAGTGTTGAGACCTTACCTATGTCTTATGTAATTCCCAGCTTATTCCACTCGTTAAATATTGAGAGCAAATTTAAAGTAATGATAAGTGTTTGATAGATCCACATTCTAATGTATTTTCAATCATGAGAGTTCACTGGATAAGCTGATCTTACATGGTGGTTTTGGGGGAAAACTAGAAGGGCAGTGGTGGGCTGCTGGGAATTCGCAGGGGTTCAGGAGACCCCCTAGCTAAGCGTCTGTGCAGTTCGGAGAACCCTCAAATCCCACTCTTGGCTGGCCCCACCCACCCTGCCCCTCCCAGGAGTCCCCACGCAGCCCGTTTTGGATGCAAGTAAGTGCAGGGCACGTGCAGAGGCTCGGGGAGTGTGAAAAATGGGCCTCTCAGAAGTTCAAGAGCCTCCAGAGCCTAAGGAGGCCATTTTCGCCCTCCTGGAGGCTGGAGGAAAGTCTCCAGAGCCTGGGGCAGAGGTGGTATTCAGCAGGTTCTGACCAGTTCTGGAGAACCGGTAGTGGAAATTTTGAGTAGTTTGGAGAACTGGCAAATACCACCTCTGACTAGAGATTTTACAGTATCCTTACAGTATCGAATTACAACAGTCCATTTAGTGTCCATTCAAAGTTACAATGGCACTGAAAAAAGTGACATGACCATTTTTCACACTTTTGTCTGTTGCAGCATCCCCCTGGTCACACGATTTACATTTTTGGATGCTTGACAACTGAATCATACATCATTGCAGTATCCTACATTCTTTTTGTATCCTTTGTATCCCTTTTGTGACCTTCTGACAAGCAAAGTCAATGGGAAACCAGATTCACTTAACAACCCTGTTACTAATTTTAGAAGTGCAGTGATTCATTTAACAAATGAGGTGAGAAAAGTTGTTACCTCACGTAACAAATCTCACTTAACAACATAAATTTTGGGCTCAGTTGTGGTCCTAACTTGAGGACCCCCTGTATTCATCCCTCCTCTTTAACATGCTTTGTGGGGGAACTGCTAGTCCAGTCATAACTCCTTACCAATATTCTCAGCACTTGAGCACACTTGTCTTTTCAGTTCTGATATTTTTAAAGAGGAGAACGTTGTTTAGTGTGCATATTGAATTTTGTTATTAGAACTGCATACAACTCTTTTATGTACTGTGGTACGATTAGCTTGCTAGGAAACAGCACGGGTTTGAAGTGTCGGAAGTCGTTTACAGTGACGTATTTCTGCACGGACACATATACAATCGCATACAGTCTATACTATAGACACAGCTGGGAATTGTTTGAAAAAAAGGTACTGCATGACCCGTGCAAACTTAGAAAAAATACAAACATAAAATTGGGAAATAAACTCCGCCGAGTTCAGCGCAGGACGCAGGTAGAATTAAAGTTTCAAAAGTCAAGCGCTGCGAGTTGTTAATAATATGACGTATGCAAATTATCTAACATGAAGGTCTCCATGGGAACCGATTAATCTACGCGAACTATGCAAGAAAGACGACATTTGGCTCAAACGAGCCACCGTCCTTGAGTTTCCTGTCGGCTGGGAAAAGGGGTGGGAACAGCAAAGGGTCGAAACGGAGCTGGCGGGAGACTCGGGAGAGTCAAGGATGGCTGACCAGGGGCTGGAGTTGGCTTCCATGATTCCAGCCCTCCGGGAACTGGGCAGGTCTGTGAAACTGAAACCAAACCCTTCTGTTGCTTGCCTTCAGGTTCTTTCTGGCTTCTTTCTGAATCGCTGTATTTACTGTATGTAATCCACTTTTCTTCCCAGGAGCTCGAGATGCTCCGTTTCATCATCATTTGTCTTTCCAGGGTCGTGTGAAACTGCAATTCAGAGACACGGCTGGCAAAAGAGGGGAGGTGAAGGTAGAAAGTGCAGAGAAGAGCAACAAATATGATGAAGGGCCTGGAAGCCAAAACATACGGGGAAGGATGGAGGGAATTGGGTATATCTAGTTTAATGAAAAGAAGGATTAGGTGACATGATAGCAGTGTTCCAATATCTGAGCAGCTACCACATAGAAGAGGAGATTCTCTTATTCTATTCTCCAAAGTACTAGAAGGCAGAACAAAAAAGCAATGGATAGAAACTAGTCAAGGAGAGAAGTGACTTAGAACTAAGGAGACGTTTTCTGACAGTTAACAATTAACCAATGGAATAATTTGCCTCCAGAAGTTGTGGTGCTCAAACACTGGATGTTTTTAAGAAGATATCAGACAACCATTTGTTTGGAATGATATAGGATTTCCTGCTCCAGCAGGGGGTTGGACTAGAAGACCTCCAAGGTCCTTACCAACTCTGTTATTTCTATTCTTCAGTTGGGGATAGATTTTTGAGGGTCTTATGAAGGTCACTAGCCTATGAAAGTATGTTATATGATGGATAAATATATGGCTAGAGTATCTAATATTTAAAACATTTTAGTATAAACTTTATAGATTACAGGTAATTTAAACAAGTGAATAAAGTACTATTCTCAATTCCATAGGGAGAAGCCAGAAAAAAAATGAAACAATGTAATTAATACACTAACAATTCTAATTGTATGTACTCATTCACAAAATCATTGATAATAGCACATTTTACATTGGTTCCATCTCTGATTGAATAATATGCTTTTGATATGTTTCATAGGCTACTTAAGATTTTGATAAAGTGAACAAATTGCTGTCGACTGAAAATTAATTTTCTACAAATAAAACTTCTTTCCTAAAAATATATAGTGCTTGAAATCTAGCATTTTAATAACTGCAATGTTTTAAATAGTTCATGTTGTACCTTTTCTTTGTCTACTACATGTGCAAAAAACTTAACAGTATAAAGTTACATGTATATATGTGTGTATGTTAATTATGTATATCACTATTATTCTGGTCTGTGACCATAATAAATATTGGATTTGTTCTTATGCATTTCAGTATAAGAGGTAGCTCTTTTGATAACATAACTTTTAAATGCATCTTTATTTCAGTGCTACACCAGAAGAATATAATACTGTGGTACAGAAGCCAAGACAAATACTCTGCCAGTTCATTGATCGAATTCTTGTGGATGTAGATGTTGGTGAGTAAAGTTAGTAAATGCCCTCAATTTAAAAAAACTCAAACTATATGTGATTTCTGCTACATGTTATTCCAACTCTAAATCATGGTCATCATGGACAAAATCTCTAACATTCTTATTAGTCTTATTATTCACTCATATCACAGAGGGAGAGAACTAGATAAAAATATGCTTCATTGCAAAATGAAATGTTTAAAATTACAATGGTATTACACAAAAGGATTTATGACTCATGCCTGGAGTTAAATGGTCATATGATTGCAATCTGGGCACTTCACAACCTATTTGCACTTATGATTGATTATCAAGTACCCTGTGATCATGTCTTCTCCATTTGCAATGTTCCTGATCAGTTTTCCTAGAAAGTCATTGAGGTAAGGAAGGCCACAAACCATTGCTGCCTGCCTAGAAGATTCTCTCTAGTCTGGGGACTGACACAAAAAGGTCTGTCCTGAAATCCACACAGGATTTTGGAATGAGGTGTTTGCAGCATGGGGCCCTAGACACAAGAGCCCTCTTTAGAGCAAAATGGCTGCTTGTCAAAGGGATTCAACCCCAGAAGGATTCAGCTGTCTCTGGGGCTGAGTCCTTCCAGCAGGAACTCTTTTGCTCTATCCGCTTAGCAACCTGGGAGATTGCTTAACAACTGCAATTCCAGGTGCCAGTTGTTGACCAAAAGTGTCACA